GGCATAAGGGGGACTTCTGGGGTTCTGGCAATGTTCTATTTCTTGACTTACACAGTAGTTACATGGGTGCTTGATTTGCAATAATTTGCAAATCACTTTTCTGCTCATGTTTCTGTTATATTTCACCAAAAAAGGCATAAAAATGCAAGAATTCCTATATTTAGGGATCACTCAGCAGTTCTGAAGCTGAATAATGACAATCAGTGCAGTAAAGGAAACCGGTGCATGTTTCCAGGAGTTAATCTATCCTATTTAGATGTTTTTGTGCCTCAAGTTAGTAGAGACACCATAAATGGAAATAAAGGCACCCACTTAAAATTCTACACATCATGGGTTCACTGCTTCTTTCTGTGGATGTGGTCTGCTCTCCACTGAGATCCAGGTTATCAAAAGCTGCATCCCCAGACTCAGAAGAACAGGTTTGTTGAGATGGCCTCCTGAAACTGATATTTACTGAGGTTTTGATTTTTATGGGAATCATAAGAATTTCAACAGACCAGTCTTCATGTGAAACATCTGTTCCTCTTAGGCAGCATAAAATCAATTTCAAAGTATTGTGCTTGGGTTCTTCTTTTTTACGGAGGTAATAGGAAATCCCTTACCAAGGTCACCCTCACACTTACTCCAACCAATAGCATCACGCAGTTTTCCCCCCACTTATGTCCTTACTCCTAACTAACCTGATTATACCATGTAGATGAGGCATTTGCTTAAATACTTTTGCATTTCATAGCACCTAGTAATGAATTAGGTATATAATAGGCTCTCAACAAATATTTTTATTGCCTGTATGTTTTCATTACTGTACACATATTTGAAATATATATAATCAGTTTTTCTACTGGTACATAATTTATAACTTTGCCTTCTGAGAGTTGGCAAGAAGCATATTCATACCTCAATTTGGACAAGAAGGTAACTACATTTACATTTTAAGTATGCTGGTAGTGTTAGATTGAGCTCAGGCAAAAATTAACAGACCCAACTCATTCCAAAACTAATCTGAGGACATTGTGGCTTATATAGTATTTTGGCAAGAAATCTATGAATTTTACATGATTGTAAGCAAATGTGCGAGTTGGTGTTTCAACGCTTTCCTAATAACATCTGGAAAGGGTGTGAGAAGCTTGAAGACTACAGCTGCTGAACTGTCAGACATGAACGGCTTGTTTCCTTAGAGCCCTCAGTCATTTGCTCCTCCTGTCCCTTTTCTATGCTTCTTGAGAAACAGCCAGCGGCTTCCCCTAGGAAGAGTACTGTACAATGGATAGAAGCAGTAGCTAAACAGGAGTTGGGCTCAGGAATTCTAGAGCTGGACTGGATATTTAATGCTGAAAAATCTCCTAAGATCTAAAGATCTAGCATACAAATCAAGTCCTTCTCATTGTCTGAATTCTCCTCAGAACCATTAAATAGTTCTTTTGCATTAGTCAAATATTAATAACCCTTAGAATGTCTTAACTTTTTCAGAGCCTGTGCTAGAAAGGAGGTGCCTCATCAGAAAAAAGGTAACTTCACTGGGCTTCAACCCTTTCTCTTAACAGGAACTTATCTTTGAATAGCACATTATGCCATAAGGAACTTTACTTCTGATGGTCAGATCTACAAGGTGGTTTGTAAAAGCCTATTGAATCCATAATGCACTGGAAGTTGTATTATTTTGACTACACCTAATCATTTACAGCATTTTTTTTTTGTCGTAAAATACATTTACAGTCCTAGGTCAGTATGTAAAAGACAAATATTTCTCCTTGCATATTTTTCTTCTCTATACCCCAGTGTGGGTTATACCAGTAGTTAGGGAAAGGAAAAGGGTAGGGTTGAATCTTCAGGCACCAATAACTTATGAACTCCATAACTGTGCTATTGAATACAGTCACCGTGAGCCACATGTGGCCATTTAAGTTTAATTAAAAATATAATTAAAAAATTTAGTTTCTCAGCCATCCTACCTACATTTCAAGTGCTCATAGTCACATGTGGCTAGTAGTGACTGTAATGGACAGTACAGATATAGAACATTTCCATCATCATGGAAAGTACTGTTCTATGAAATAACGCTGTATATTAATTATTAGCTAGGTATTTTCAGTTGGGGGGAGAAGGGGAAATAGTTCCTACGAGGACTGCGGCTACATTCTCTCCCCTCAAATTCAAATTTATAAGTCGCTTACAAATTATGAATAAGTCTCAGAGTCTTGTGTAGGATATGAACTCTCCCTTCATGGATTTTATGGTCTGTTGGGATAAACAGATACACGAAAACGAAAAGGTAATTATCAAATCAAGGTCGTACATGGTAAGTGAGAGAATAAATTCTCAGGGAAACAACAAGAGACACAGAGGATAGTATACCACTGATGTAGTATATTTAAGAGACAAAAGAGAAAGAGGCTAAAAATAATACTGAAGTTGATAGAACAAGGTGATGGTGGTGTCACTGGTGGACAACAGGGAAGCATAAAAGGGAGGGGTAGAACGAACTCAGTTTCTTCCCCATTCAAGGAAGCACAGGGAGAATCAAGGAATTATATCCTTGCAAAATCAGAAAATGATCTACTGTGTCAAAGGTTATAGGAATCTGAACTCAATAACTAATAAGTCTAAACCACTGTTGTTATTATTTTTCTCTGTAACCATTTCACCAGTGACACCTGAGATTGGATCCTAAAGATAAAGCAGGAGATAAAACATGAGAAAATGGAGATAATACCCAGATGAACTGAAGGGACAGCATGGAGGAGTATTCTTGGCTCATTAATTCTTGGATTGAGCCACTTCCATCTGTTCTAGAGATCATTTTATCAGGTCAGAGAATATGTGTGTGACTTTCTTCAGATGGTGCAATACAAAAACCAGTAGGATTATTTGTGTGACATTGGAAGACACAGTGGGTTTTGCAATTTTAAAATAAGAGATGACCCTTCTAATAGACAATGAAGTCAAGTAAAGGAAAGGGAGCTAGGATCTCTCTCTTCTGTTATCAAATGTGCAAGAGCATATAGCCACTTTTCTGGTCATCAGCTGAATCCTGAAAGTGCCAATCACGAACAGGTTCTGCTGTGTTATGAGGGTGTATAACAAAACAGGGCCAATGTATGCAAAAGTCAGAAACTATTAATAGCAGCTTGCAGGCTTTGATATTTAATTATATAAGAGCAACTGAAGATTCTCTTTCTTAGTTACAAATACCTAGGAAAGTGCTATACGTGTCTCATGTTCTTAATGTCCTTGTACCCCATGAATGAAGTCCTGATAGCTGTGGTAGCAATTTCTGAAATTCTTCCTAGAATTCAGTCTGTAAGAATTAGGACAGCAGTTTATACCTAAAGTGAAATTTGTTTTAGGAAGTTCAACTTTAGAATTTGAAACTCCAAGCCTATATAAGTAAGTTTTAACGCACGATGTTAATGTCCTCAAAACTCTAAAGGTGGAATAAAGACAATAACATGAAGTATACAGTATTTGAGATAACATATAGCTATTTCAGAAAAGCCTGTTGCTCTCCTTAAGCCTTTATCTGCAAAATAAGGATGATAAAATCTGTGTCACTGCTTCTGCAAAGATTGAGTAAAGAGATATATATAAAATTCTTAGATTATGGCTATTTTTATATCTAACAAATTCATAAGCATTTCCCATGTTTCCAAAGTTGTACTAAATTATTTTAATAGCTGCAAAAATACTTTATCATATTGATATAATTTATTTAACCACTTCTCTACTGCTAGACATTTGGATTGCTTTCAATGTGGCTTGGCATTTCTTTGTGTATGAATTTCAGAGGACATAAGACCTGTAAAAGGCCACATAATACATATTTTAGGCATTGTGGGACCACATAAGGTCCCTGATGCACATTCTTTTCTTTCTTCTTTTTTAAACAACACTTTTGAAGTATAAAAACTATCAGCTTGAGGGCTGTATAAAAACAGGCTGCAGCCTAGAGTTGGCCCTCCAACAGTAATTTGCCTAGCCCTTAACTGATAGTTTTAACTAGTCTGAGCCTCTTTGGAAGTTCACTGTGAAGGCATAATCTCAGTCTTAGAAATGGGCAAGACCCTAGACGTCAGCTGTCAATCTCTAGCTGTTCTTCAGATTCCTTTACCAATATTTTTCTTTTTGTTAGGAAGGCATAATGTGAAGGTAGTAACAAGATGGAGAATGACAATGGCCAGGGTACGTAGGAGTTTTTCAGCTAATTCTTAAGCGAGACACTGGCTGAAAACGGCTGTGGAGCGCTGTCCTATGGGATCCCTTAATTTCACCAAGTGCCATCCTCCAGAAATGAAGCCAATTTGTAAATAACTGACAAGTCTTAAGAACAGTCGTTGGGTAATTTCTATCTGTAGCAATAAAAAACTGCCTCCGTTAGGAAGGGCGTAGAATTCACTAATGACTGGAAAGAAAACTAAGTTGCAACTTAGCTTTAGCATTTATTAGCTGCATGCTCTTGGGCAAGTTAAATAACCTATTTTTCATCTGTAAAATGGAGAATACTTACTTGAGATTTAGCATTAAGCACAGTACCAGGCACAAAGATGAGAAAATGATAGAGCTATTTGCTCTAATGGTTAGAGACAATGAGGGCCAGTTTTGAGTTACTCTGGTGATTCTGTAGGAAGGGAGGGCAGAGGTGGAACACTAGGATCTCTTTCAGGAAAAGGACGGTGCTGGGTCGGTTTTCAGGTCCAGTAGAACCGCTCACTCCTGCTCCAAGGCATCTGCCCCCGAAAGCGCCTCCAGAGGCCCAGGCCACACCCAAGGACACCACCCAGGATTCTAGGACACCTCAGGGGCCCTTGTGGCCTGGCTCCTGGGCCAGCCAGCTCAGGGTGAGCAAACTCGAGGTCCGCTCAAACTCACCTGCTTGGCAGGTGCGCACAGCCCGAGGCCGGACCGGGGAGGGCGGGCGCGGTGGGCGGGGGCAGAGAATATGAAGCTCCTGGCGCATGGCACCCGCCGCCCAGTCGCCGCGGTGGCTGCCGGGATGCGCCGCAGCGAATGGTCGCGCCGGGCGCAGCTCTGAGTGACCTTTCACCCGCGCCCAGCGGTCCCGGGCGGTGGCACGAGGCGGAAGCCATGGCGGAGGCGGCGGCTGCAGCGGGCGGGACAGGCGCGGGCTCCGGCTCTGCAGCGGACCGGGACCGGGACCGGGACCCGGACCGCGCCGGGCGGAGGCTGCGGGTTCTCTCAGGCCATCTGCTGGGCCGGCCTCATGAGGCACTGAGTACCAATGAGTGCAAAGCGCGAAGAGTCGCGTCGGCGGCCACGGCAGCGCCCACGGCCACACCCGCCGCTCAGGAGTCGGGTACCATCCCCAAGAAGCGGTGAGTAGAGGTCTGTGGAAGGAGCTGGTGGCAAGGGAGCAGGCAAGGCCTGTGCTGCGGAAGGGCACAGGCGAGGTGGGAAAGGAGGAGACACGGGTGGGCAGAGGTATCTCGGTCCCTGAAAGTAGGGACCCACCTCTCTTTCAAGAGGGAGTGTTCGAGACCCTAAACACTCTCGGGAAGGGGGCAGGATGAGATGGTGCATTTTGGTCACTATTTGAGGGTAACAGATCTGAAGAACTCTCATTGGGAAAGGTTTTAAAGGGATTCTTTTTCTTGGGTTCTTAGTGCCAGGCATTCATTCTCTATCATGAATGAATATTTTGGGGGCTGAGAGCTTGGATGGGTAGCAGGGGTTCTGTTATGCTGCTCCGATGGGATTTAAGTGTGTACTAGATGATCACAGGGATCTCTCTCAATTCGTGAAAGCCTGGTGTGGGGGGAACTGATGGTCCCATGCAAATAGGTGCTGATTGGTTTCTGTGGGGTAGTTTCCGTTTGCGGCGTGGTCTTTGACTTGAGGGAGGAAACCACTGAGTAAGTAAGACGCAATAAGCTACAAACATTAGTTAGTGATATAGGGTATGGGTGGTATAGCTAGTGAGCTCTGTGTAACCAGAAGATAAAAGTCTGTGGGTGAGGGATGTAGGAGATCTTGACTTACCACCTTTTGAGGACATCTTAATCTCTGATGAAAGCTACTGGGAGAAGCTATTTTCGTAGATGTGGCTTTGTCAGCATGGATAAACTGAGAATGAAAAAAGATGTTGCTACCGTTTAATGTGTACTTACAGTGTGCCAGAGATTGTGCTAAATCCTTTATTTTTTACTCCTTCCCAAGCTATGGAGTAGGTTTAGTTTTCTCCCATTTACAGGTGAAGAAATTTTTAAAAAGGCGTCTGCTGCAGGCTTAGCAGGTGTGCTGTGTGCAGCAGGTTAGAATTTGAAAGCACTTCAAATTGACTTCAGGGCCAAGTTCTTAGGCTATACTGCTTCTGGTGAAGTAAGTCATTAATTCAACGTATGTGAGTTATTACTCTACAACATACACACTGTACTAGCAATACAGAGATTTAAAAACACAGTATTTACTCTTAGGGAACTAATAGCCTAGTAGGTAAAGTTATTGTATAGTGTGATAAGAAACTTAGCTAGTAACTGTAGCACATGGTCACTTCCCAGTTTTGGGTATGTGTTTGTTAGGGCAAAGGCTTCCCAGAATAAGGATTGTTTGAGTAAATATTGAAGTTTGTGTTGGTAATAGTCTGCCAAAGTGCTCTTGGCAGACAAACAGTATGTTCACAGATGAGGAAGTGAGAGACAGATTAGGAAATTGCTGGGAGTTAAATGTGGCAGAATAAGGTGAGAATGACTGGGGATCAAGGCTAGAGAGGTGAGTCTTGTTTGCAGGATTTTACGTGGGGCAAAACATAATTAGATTTACCTTTTAGAAAGGTCACACTGGGACCAAATTGAAGAAGGTTGAGCAGTTTAGCAATATAATGATTAGGAATGTAGATGTGGGTTTGAATTTCTACTACACAATTTCAGCTGTATGATCTTGGGCAAGTCACTTCTCTCAGAGTTTCAGTTCCCTCATTTATAAAAACGGGGACAATAATTTCTAATAATTATTGCAATAATAATTTGCAAACTTTACTTTGCAAAGTTGCTGTAAAAATTGAAAAATATAAAGTTAAATGGTCAATTGCTTAGTGCAATGCCTGTTACATAAACTCTAAACATAAGGTAGCTGCAATTTTCATTGTGTCTAAAGACAGACCAATTAGGAAACTGCTATCCCAATGAAAAATGCTGGGATTCTGAACTAAAGCATAATGTTGGGAGTAGGCAATCTATTTGAAAAAATATGAGAAGGTAAATTTTTCAGAACTTGGTTACTGAGTGGTTGGGGGCGCAAGAGGAATCAAGGATCACATCTTGTCCTCTGGCTTCACTTAATGTTATATTAGCTGTTGTTGGTTTTAGAACTTTTAACTTTTCTAAATGGCTTCATGTACATTTATATCTACTCATTTGTAAGCATTTGTGTGTGATTGTACATTTACATGCAGGTTCATACTCTTAGAACTAAGTAGGGAGGGCAGGTTTTCCATTTATGGTTGGGTTTAGTGGTCTTGGTCTACTGAATTCAGAGAAAACATAGTATGTTTGTAAGGCATACTGAGGTGATGGATGAGGCTTCCCATGGCTGAAGGTACCCTGTGTGGCTGTTGCAAGGACTGAAGCCATCAATAGTTCAGGCATGACTGCAACCTGTTTATGACAGAGGTTACAGCTGGTGGGAAGCTCTGGTCTTTGGCTCTGGCTTAGATGGCTAGTGGTATAATCTAGTCCTGTACAAGTACGTTGAAGTTTAATCAAAGTTTGAGGGAACACAAAAACTTTATTAGATGGCATATCAAAAGTTTCCTCAGAGAGTGATCTGCTTGATAGATTATTCATGGAGAATCCAGGTCTCTTTTCTACTTCCTGCTGCTTAGCTGGGCTTCAGGTTGCCAGCAACAGAACTAAGCCTAAAGGAAAGACAAATGATGGAGCAGGAAAGAACCAGAGTGGATGTCCAATAAAGTGTGAATATGACTGTATGTCAATTATTTTGGAATCATTTCGTGATTTGTGTATTACTCCTTTCCTTTTGTTACATTGGATGATGGCATTGGTTGTAATCATTTTATCTCATGGCTGGTTATACTTAAATTCATCATGGGCTTAAAGTAGTGACTTCTTGAAACTCCAAGTTTCATTCCTCTTATAGATTAGTCATGCATATGTTAATTTACTTAACATTTGTAGGGTGGTTGATTTATGACAGGTACTGTCCTAGGTACTGGAGGTAGGGATGAATAAATAGTCCTTGGCCCCAAAGAATTGACAATCTAGGAAGGGAGAGACACATTCCAGTACAGTTTGATTAGAGCCATTGTAGTTACGGGTACATATGTAGCACAGAGGAAAGAAAGAGTGATATACTCTATCTAGGGAGTCAGGGGAAACTTTCTGGAGAAGGTTTTGAAATGTGGATGATAGTTTGGCAGGTTGATTGGATGGTGAGAAGAGTTTATATTCCAAGCAAAAGGAATGGCATATGGCAAAGCAAGGAGGCATGAAAGTGCACATTGTATTTAGGTAACTCGACAATTCAGTTATTGGTAGAGATGGGAGTAAAGCGAAAAGAGGAGGGCAGTGGCAGGTCATGGAGGCCTTTGGCCTATGAATCATCAGTCCATTTATTTAGTCACTCATTCCCAAATGCAACATATAGCAGTGAACAACAACTCTGTTCTTATGGAACTTATATTCTAGCTGAAGCAGAGACACTGAGCAAACAATAATATTAGTATGTCAGGTGGTGATAAATGCAATAAAAAATGAAGCAGGCGATAGAGAACCCTTGAAGGAATTAAGCTGGGAAGAGACACAGTCAGATTGGGTTTGAGTCTGAGAGAAGTCTCTTCAGCTACAGTGTTAAGAATGGATTGCAGGCCAGGCGCAGTGGCTCATGCCTGTAATCCTTGCACCCTGGGAGGCTGAGGCGGGAGGATTACTTGAGCTCGGGAGTTCAAGACCAGCCCGAGCAAGAGTGAGACCCTGTCTCCACTAAAAATAGAAAAATTAGGCAGCCATTGTGGCACGCCCCTGTAGCCTTGGCTACTTGGGAGGCTGAGGCAGGAGGATCACTTGAGCTGAGAGTTTGAAAAGGTTGCGATGATGTCCCTGCACTCTGTCTGGGGAGACTGAGCGAGACTCTGTCTCAAAAAAAAGAAAATAAATAAAAGTGCTGACCATCCAAAACATGTTGTTTAATTGTCACATGGTCTTCTATGAGTTGGTTGCAGTTATTTCTGTACAGGAACATATATTCTCATTATCTGAAGTTTCTGAGCAGAGTTTTGAGGGTGTTGGTTTACTTTTGGACTCCTTTTTTCTTTGAGTGCATGGTATTCCATGTATGATTTCTTCTTACCCTTGCTTCTGAATGCAATTTTAGATTCTTAAAAATCATAGTACATGGCAATTATGTATGTGACATTTTTATGCCTTGGTTTTGGATTGTTTTTTTCACTTTAACATTACACTATTGTAATGTTATGAAAAAAACAAGGAAAAAAATCCCTAGCAGACTTTTGGTCTTTCACACTGCTAACCACTTTCCTAATTGTAACTTTGGCTCCAACCTCCTTGTGGTTTGCATTAGGTAGAACTGCTGTATGACAATTTTTACAGAGATTATAAACTCTTCTGGTTCAGGTCAGAAGAATATCTGGTTAAGAATGTCATTAATTAATTTACTTGCTTAGAATGTCATTTATGTATGCCATTAAAAAAATAATGTATTATTTAACATCTACCAGAAGTTTTAGTAGATATTTTCCAGAAGGAAAAAAGCTGAGTTAACCTCTTCTAAATGTTTTCCAGGAGGGCATCCTGAATCCTGTAGGAACTGATGTATTTCTGTAGCGAAGGTTATTTGCACAAGTGAACTGACTTAGGACTTCACATCTTTGGGCAAAATTAGAGCTTATTTTGGTAGTTATGTTGACTGAAATATTTAGCCTGCTTTGAGTTCCTAGTTAGGAATTCTAGTGATAGTAGTAATAGGAGTTTAAATTTGAGTAAGTCCTAACGTGTCAGGTACCATACTGTACTAAAGCTTATGTACGTTGTCTCATTTAATTCTCATAACAGCTCTGAAAACTAGGTGGTACTGTATAGTGTATATGTTACAGGTGAGGAAATAGAGGCTCAGAGAAGTTAATTTGTCTAAGGCCATATAACTATGAAATGAAGGAGATGGCATTTCAACCCTATTCTTCCTTCAGAGCCCATATTCCTTCCTCTCTGCTGAATTATCATACTTGATGTTGTTCCCTGGGGAAAAATTATCTACTTACTATTCATCGAGTTGCTGTCTTTTTCATGCCAAGTTTCAGAGTTTTGTGATTAAATAGATCATGATCAAATACTTTGTCATACAG